ATGTGAAATAGAAAAACTATTTGCAAATTAGTGAAAATTGTCCTAATGCAATTGAGAAATGCTTGTCCAATGCAATTAATTGCATTTTTTCCACTAACTTATAGCTAATTTTTTTATTTATTATTTATTGACGTGACACTTATCATATTATTAAAATAAATATAATTTCAAATTTATAAAATTTCTTAATTCTATAACATATTAGTAAAAAAATTATAAATTTTAATAATTTATATAACTTTTTTCCTTTAATTAATATATGCAAAAGCTAGTTGGCATAGTGGGTGATTGGGAAGCGAGTTTTTTGTACGTTTTTTTAGTTGTAGGATATTATTGGAGAAATTTTTTTTTGTGTTTGGAAAGGTAGTTAGGTTTTTTTGTGGTTAGATGTGATATTTGTGAGAGAAAAAAAGTAAAATGATTATGAGATTTGATGTGATATTTTGTTTGGATTTGTTTTTTTTTTGTTTTGTAACTACTTTGTCTTTTAGTGAAAAAAACAAAAAAAACCACAAAAAAATCTTTCCCAAACACCGCCTCATACATCACCACACACCCATGAATGGAAGGGAAAAAATAGGAGTCACATAATTTCTTTTTTTTTCTTTTCTTTTTTTTTTTGGTGGTAGATTAATACATGCCACATATTAAAGGGGGTGCATGGAAGCAATGTCACATTCATTTTGTGGTTCATACCTAACTAATAATTTAGAACCTGTAGATTGTGACCATTTGTATTTTGGGTTGTTCGTAAAGTTAAAAACCTTTTTTCTTCAATGAATTTGGACGTTTGGAGTTCACCTCTCGAATGGGAGGTGGGGTTCTGATCATGCAATGTTGTGCCTGTTTGGTACAGCTTAAAAGCTGTTTATTTCAGCTTTCAGTTTAATTTAAGCTATTTTGACGTGTTTGGTTTACCTTATAACTTATAGTTTATAGCTTTTTGGAAGTCAGAAATTAGCTTATTCTTTGAGTGGGGCAGGAGATGCTTAATTTATAAGTCAAAATTCAGCTTATGTTCATAGTTATAAGCTATAAGTTGTTTAGAAATAAGCTATAAGCACTTTCTCACAGCTCTACTAAACAGGGCTGTTGTGTCTTCCAATGGATTTGAATTATACAAATTTATAAGATTTATGAAAAAAATTATTGTAAAAATTTAAGTTGATGAAAACTTATTTTATGAAAATTTTGAGAAATTAAAATGGCTATGGAAGCTTTATTTATTACCAAGTGGAGACAAATACTATATGATAGTGGCATGAAACTCTTTGACGTTGAATCGAGTATTCATGAAGAACAAGTTGTTCGCTTAGCCTTGTTCATCTTTAACGCAAAAGTGTTTGATGCATAAGCTACTCTTTCAAGGGCCTAAGTTCTCTTTCAAGGGTGGTTGTTGTTATTTTTTCATTTTAAAAAAAATATTTTGTTAAGTGATAGTGATGCTCTTGTTTTGAATTTTGATCTAAAAAAGTATTTTAATCTTAGTTCATCATGACTTTTAAAAGAAATTATCCATCTAAATTCGCAAAAAGGAAAAAGAAGCAAAGAGTCGAAAAATTGATCGAGCGTCAAAGAGGAGCTATTGATAAGTTATTTACGAGTAATTGCCAAAAGAAGTCAATAAACCAATTGAAGTGCTCAATCATCTGCAGTTGATTGGCTAATTATTTCCCAAATTCAAGGGTTACTTATAGGATACTTTTGACTATTTCGGTTACAGTTGCATCGGAGGAAAGAAGCTTTTCAAAGTTGAAAATAATAAAAAATTACCTTTGATCAACCATGTCACAACAAAGATTGAATGGATTAGTATTGTTATCCATTGAAAATGATTTCGCAAAAAAATTAGAGTATGCAAGTATGATTTATTCATTTGTTTCTAAAAATGCAAGAAGAATGAGGATCAAGTGATACTTATTAGTTGTTGTAATGTAAAACTTTGTATTTTTTGTAATTTTCATACAAATCTTTTGTCTTTTACCTTTAAATTTTTTTTTTTTTCATTCAATGAAAAAAAAAATGTAAAAGGTCCTAGAAATTTATTAATTGATTATCGGCTTTACACTCTTGAAACCTCAGGGCCGGGCCTGCTCTCAATGTATGCTATCACCCCAATTTTTTATGTTCATTTTTATCCTTTAATCAAATTATTATTTCAACCAAAATCTATAACCTAATCTCTCAGTATTCACCCTTTCTACACATCACTAGCCACCATCATCCTACTGCACCGCTTGCTCCCCACCTCCAGCCACTATCCTTCAATTACCACCACTACGACCTTCTTCCCTAGCCACCATCGCAATCCCTCAACCTCATTTGCTTACCATCACATGCCTCCTTAACCCCACTGACCTACAAGCACCATAATAGCAACCTCGTGGCACACCACCCTTCACGATACACATGCCATGGCAAGAGGGAGAAATTGAGTTCACGGAAGGAGGGCTAAAGGGGAATTGTGATGAAAAGAGAGTGCTAAGAAAGGAGCGGTAGGAGGGGAGCTTGTGATGAGAAGAGAGAGAATGAAAAAAAAATAATAAGACAAAATTAATACAATTTAGTGTGTTTGGTTTGAGTTTTTTGAATTAAGTTTTTTGAAAACTCAATTTTTTAGTTTTCGTATTTTTTTGTTTTTAGTGAATATTTTTAAAATTTTAAACATTTTTTTTTTACTTTTTTAGATGCACCTTACTTAGATGTATCTAAAAAATAAAAAAATTGTGAAAAAAATATTTTAAAAATTTAATAAATACATAAAAATACAAAAAATGTATTGAATTCTCATATTTTTTTTTTGTATTTTTGTTATTTAGTGAATTTTTAAAAGATTTTTTTCACAATTTTTTTACTTTTTAGGTATATTTATGTTAGGTATGTCTAAAAAGTAAAAAAAAAAAATTGCTTAAAATATTAAAAAAATTTAGTAAAAACAAAAAAAACACAAAAAATAAGAAAGTACAATTTTTTGAAAAAACACAATTAAGCAAGCTGATTAAAATTATGATCATAATTAAATTAAAAGAACAATCAATTTAACTTCTCCTATTTTTCTCCAAGTCTTATTAAGCATATTTAAAATATTATGCTCACATTCATGCAAAACATACACACCTAATACAATACTTCCTTTATAGATGATGAAGAGACTGAACAACAATAAATGGTCAGATCATTGTGCCTAATTATTGATAGATTTGAATATGACTGCAATAATAACTGGACCCCCTACCATACCACTGCCCCTTATGCATTAAATGCTATTCAAAAGAAAATGTGGAGCCATTCAATTTCGGCACTGTGTTTTGAGTTAAATACATTTCATATAAACAGAAGTCTACATTTGCTCTACTACTAGGGATTTTCCCATAAATTTTTTTCATTTATTTTTTTGAATTCAGGTAATGAAGGTAGGAACAATTACACTGACACTGTGTAAGTGGAAATTAATTACAAATTAATGGAAATATTTATAATTTTAATTATTAATATTTATAATATTTTTTATTTTTTATAATTAATTTTTCTTAATATCACTGTGAGGTTATTTCCCCATAAAAGTAAGTGTGTGTATATATATAAACAATAAAACTAGTATTTCATAAATTGTCTAGAAACTTATCAAATGTAAAAGAATGATTGAAATTAAATTGAAGTATTGTAAGATCTATGAATAAAATAAATTTTGGACCATATATTGATATTTTTGAATATATAATATTACTGATATAAATAGTCTCTATAATTTTATAGAGAGAAACTAATGTTCATATATTATTTTAGAGCCTTGCTAACAAGTACCTTTGAGTATTAAGAAGAAAAAAAGAGAGTAGGGAATGCAACACTCTTTTTTATTAATTTCAAAATACTTTTTATTTATCTTATATAACTTCTTCTTCTTCTTCTTTTTTAACTTTTTCACTATTCTTAAAATAATTTTCATATCATTTACAATATTAAACAATGTTACAGGAGTGCTTTTTTTTTCTTTATTATTATTATTATTATTATTATTATTATTATTATTATTTTAAGGATTCATCCAAAGTCATAGTTTGAAAGAGTGAAAGTCTTGCTTGTAGCAAGATTTGAACACATAATCTCTTAGTAAGAGATTTTATGATGCAAACTCTGAAACATTTGATTAAAAAATTGAGTAAATTACACTGAAATCTTATGAAATTTCTGTTTAATACAGATTTTTCTCTCATATTTGAAAATTTATATTCTTCTTCCTGTAGTTTATAATTTCATTACAAATTGTTTCCGGGATTGCTGATATCATACCCTAAAGTATTTTAAATGACCATCTTACCATTTTTTTGATATTTTTTGTATACATTTTTATACATGAATATAATTTTTTATTTTATTTCCACCATTATATTTAGAGTAGATCAATTTAACTTAGATATATTTAAAAAGTATAAAATTTGTACAAAATTTTTTTTTAAAAAAAATTTATTGCATACAACAAAATAAAATAATGTATTGAATTTTTTGTATTTTTTATTTTTGGTAAAATTAAAAAAAAAATCTTAAAATATTGGGATTTTTTTTTTAGGTCCATGGTGTTAAGATTTTATAACATAAAGGACACTCAATATTTTCATAATGTCTAAAGTCCCTCAACATCGATCTACTGGATCGAATTTTCTCTAGACTTCACAGAGAAATTTTGGTTCGCAAGGCTTCATTGTTATTGAGAAATTCTGGTTCACAAGGTTTCAAAATTTCTCTGCTTTGTTTTTACCTAATCCAGAGGAAATTCAAAGCACTCTAGAAAAATTCAAATTTTTTTTACTTTGTTTTTATCTGATCCAGTGAAAATTCAAACCATTCTAGAGAAATTCAAAATTTCTCTACTTTGTTCTTACTTGATTTAGAGAAAATTTAAACCACTCCAAAGAAATTTTTTGATAGCCTTCATCATCATCATCATCATTATCTTCTTTCTACATCAAATAAATAGCTGTAGCAGCACAATGAAAGCCATAGAAGTAACAGCACTTTGATAGCATCAACACAAATGCACAACAAGACAAATGATTAACTAGAGGTAGCATGAGGCAATAACAGTATCAACTCCACTCATCAATGGCTCGATTTGACCCTTCTAGAATAAGCTGGACAACAAGCAGATACAACGACTGCAAACTAGCCACCTATGATCTCACTTGAGCCAACAACAGCTCAAAGAAAAGAGAAAAAAACACAGCCACAACTCTAGAGAAATTCTGGGAATCCAAATTTCTCTAGACTGGACTTCTCAGAGAAATTCAACAAACTTGATCATCTTCAAACAATCTCTCCACGAGCACTTCTCTTCCAGCTATTTAACACAGCGTGCTTTAAGCAATATAAACCATAAATGATCAAAGAGTTCTAAGAAACTCACAAGAAAAATAGGTGAAAAATAATTTGTTTAATATAAAAACACATAAAAAACACAACATAAAAGTCCAGAGAAATTTGTAATAATTATAATTTTCTCTGGATTGCAATAACAAACTTTTAATTTCTCTGGACGAATTTTCTCTCGATTTCACAGAGAAATTTTGGTTCACAGAGAATTTCTTTAGACGAATTTTCTCTATCCTCTGGATTTCACAGAGAAATTGTGGAGATAAAATTTGTGTGGTTTTATGTGGCTCTATTGTGTAAGAGAAAATTTGTGTGACTTTGTGTGGCCATATCTAGAGAAAATTGTGTTAGAGAAAATTTGCGTGACTTTATCCAGAGAAAATTATGAAGTGAAGCAATGAGCAATTTATAGTAATCACCCAGTAAGTAATCAACAAACATGGATTCACATAAAGCATAAAGATGTTAAAAATACCTATTTCTTACTCAACATGGGTCCATCACAAACTCCAACCACAATGCGATCCCTACCCAATTCCGCCACTTTCTGTAAGTACCAACTTAATCAGATACATTTTCAGATATATATATATACACAGAGAGAGAGAGATAGAGAACTTTGAGGAAAAGGTAGTGATCGTCGTGTAATCGATCGAAGATGCCTCCAATTACGATGGATCCGAATGTATTTGGTGACGAAATTTTGGAATCTGCTGCAGATTCATCCGAAATCGCCATTGAAATAGGTACAGAGAGATTGCGAAAAAGAAAAGGAAGAAAAACAAAAACAAATGGATTTTGATGATGATGTTGCAATTTCACAACAAAATCGAAAAAGGTATGATTGATTTCGAAGCAACTACTCAACTGAAGCCTCGTTGTTGCGTTGGGAAGATACTAAGGTACAGTGAACCTGGACCAAAATAAATAATAATCATTAATACAAGAGTAGTTAATAGAGGAGCTTGACACCAACCTCGACGAAAAGTAGGATTGATTTCGAAGCAACTACTCAACTAAAGCCCCGTTGTTGCGTTTGGAAGATGCTAAGGTACAATGAACCTGGACCAAAATAAATAATAATAATTAATACGAGAGTAGTTAATGGAGGAGCTCGACATCGACCTCGACAGCTTCATCAGTCTCAAAGATTGCAGGGCTAAAGGATGCCTTCGAGTTCTATAATTATGACAAGAATGGAGTGATCTCGTCTTTGAGATCAATGTGCAGGATGATGATGTTGCAATTTCACAACAAAATCGGAAAAGGTATGATTGATTTCGAAGCAACTACTCAACTGAAGCCTCGTTGTTGCGTTGGGAAGATACTAAGGTACAGTGAACCTGGACCAAAATAAATAATAATAATTAATACGAGAGTAGTTAATGGAGGAGCTCGACATCGACCACGACAGCTTCATCAGTCTCAAAGATTGCAGGGCTAAAGGATGCCTTCGAGTTGTATAATTATGACAAGAATGGAGTGATCTCGTCTTTGAGATCAATGAGCAGGAGAGAGAGATAGAGAGCGTGAGATATATCAAATTTTTCTGTGATAGATGGGTGTGGGTTTGGGGACCTTAGACATTAAAAAATAATATTGTGAATCTCTTCCATTACTAAAAATGGGAAAATGACGTTAGATTAATTTTTCCTAAAATATTATACTTCTTAAATATATCTAGATTCGGTATATTTAAAAAAATAAAAAAATTGCCTAAAATATTTTTAAAAATAAAGTAAAAATAAAAAACATTCAATTTTTTGTGTGAGTTAAATCAAAGAAGATGATTGTTATTTCCTTTAAAATCACTGAACAAAATATTTGTATTATTTTATTATTTTATATGTATAAAGGTTAAAGAGTAAATATGTCATTTTAATCTTATAGGGGGTAAGTGTATTTTTCAAATGTGAAGAGGGAATTTCTATTAAATAAAAATCTCAAAAGATGTCAATGTAATTACCCTAAAATATTTATGTTCTTAAATTTTGTTTTTTCTGTATTCTAACTATCAAGCCACGTGAATTTTCGAAACATATTTAAATGATTAAGAGAAATTTGAAATAAAAGAATAAAAATATCTAAAGATAGAAGATTTCGTACAAATCATTTAACTAACATAAAGTTGAGATTTTAACGTGAGCCAAATAATTTAACCTTCAAATGTACTCATGTACTTGTGGAAATATTTAAGATGCTCTTTTATGAAGTCTACCAACTGAGTTTCGGGGTGTGCATGGTGCAACAGTAATTGTTGTGTATTTTATTGTACTCATTTTAGGGTTTAATTCGATAATTTAAATCGTTCATATTTTAGAAGTCATCGAGTAGAATATATCATTAAAAAAATCATGTCAATCGGATATCGTTAACCCTTTCATCAAATCACATTTCTATTTAAAAAAAAAAGAAGATAAATGTAATTTGAAACATAAAACTCAATGCAAATGTGATTCGATAAAAGAGATAACGATATCTGATCGACGTAATTTTTTACAGGTATATTTTGTTTGATAACTCTTAAAATGTGAACAATTTAAATTATTAAATTAAACCCTAAAATAAGCCTAATAAGATATGCAATAGTTGCTACTGCATACCATGCACAGCAGCAACCCCAAACACTTGCCGACCTCTTCCAATTTGTAACATAAATATCATCAAAATGCCCACAAGCTTAAGTTAGGAAAAAATTTCAAATACCCTCGTTGTCAAAATAATTTAGGTAAAAGAAATTAAATTTATCTTTCATTATTTTATTTTAATTTATTTTTGAAAAATTAAAAATATCCTTCTCCTATTTTTCAATAATCAGTTTATTTTTTTAATATATTTCAATTATTTTTATCTTATAAGCTGTAACAAAAAAATGCACCAAACATTCTATACAAATTTTTAAAATAAAAATATTATAAACAAGAATTTAAATTGTCTCCAACTGGCCAAGTTGACCGTCCAGTTTGGCCCATTGTGGGCTCATTTCAATCTTATCTCAATGAACCAAACCGGTCATTTATAGAGCCCCTAGAGAAAATAATCCATACCAAAAATTGGTTTGATCAGACAATAGTAAACACTTGATCAATCATATTTGTCTAAAAAATAATTAACAAATACTAAGATTTTGAAAGTGATTTATCCATTTTTTTAGACAAATCTATTAGATTAAATAATTATTGATATCCGATCAAACTAATTTTCAATATAAATGATTTTTTCAAAAAATTCTACAAACGAATTGATTTGAATTATTAAAATAAACCAAAAACATACCGACAACGAGATGAACTAGACAATCTCTATAAACAATTTCATAAACTATGCCAAAATCCATGACACAGTGAAAAGCCATAGCCAACCCTTCTCAGTTGAGAACATGTTATTTTAATAACATTTTCGTTTTTGGCTAAAATATGAGATAATAAAATTAATATGTTTAAAATGATTTTTTAATTTTTTATGAAAAGATGTGCAAATGATAGAAATTTTTTTTTTAATTTTTTGTTATAAATTATTAGCCTTTTATTTTTTTAATAAATTTTAATTTTTAAATAAAAATATTAAATTGTCCCGGAGGCTAGTGTTTGGGGGAGCCTTTTTTCACACTTTCGCAAAGATGTGGAAAAAAGTTTATCCAATTCTCCATTCTTCACACAGGGTCCCTAAGAAAATCGTATTTGTCCATTAGTAATGTATGGCTTATGGGTTTTCTCAGGTACACTTGTCCTTTTTTCATTTATGCTACTAATGAATTTTTTATGAAAAAAAGACAATATGAATTAAAATTTTAAGAGAGTTTAGTATAATTATGTCAAATTTATGGAGCATGTTGTATCCTCTCTAAACTTAAGGAGAAATAAGTGTAATTTATTCTAATAATAATAATATAAGTGCCATCATTAATGCTAGTATATTGTTAACAAAATATAAAAATATATAACGCATTATAAGAATATGTGAAATATGTAATTACTTTATTGGCTGTAGATATTATATTGGAGAATTTTTTTTAATTTTTTTTTTTTTGTGTTTTGAAATTTTTTTGTGAGCAGATCGCAGATGACAAGACCTCGACCTAAAAGAGTAGGTCCGAGAAGAGAAGAGCTCGCCCTAGGAGAGAAGATCTCAGATGACAAGACCACGACCTAAGATGAGTAGGTTCGAGAAGAGAAGAGCTCACCTTAGGTGAGCAGATCCCAGATGACAAGACATTGGCCTAGATAAGTAGGTTTGACAAAAGATATTAAAAGATATAGCCAAAAACTAAAATAGCATATTAAAATAGCCAACTTCCCAAACAGATTCTACACTCGATTTATACACTTGGATTTTCAAATTTAGATTAGAACTAAACTAGTGAAAACCATGCTATACACGGGATCTAAAAAAATTAATAAAATATTTTTATATAAAATAATATAAATAGTTAGATTTTTGTATGTAAATTATGAAAATTTAAAAAATATTGAAACCTAAAATTTAAGTTTCACAATTTTATTACAATCATATATATATATACATATATATATTAAATGTAGTGTTTTTTCCTTTCTTAGGTAACACATTCTAAGGACTTACGTTTTTCTAAAAAAGTTACGTTAGCATGTATTTTCTTATTTATATATAGTGTTGTACACAAATCCAAACTCAATTTAAATTATACCAACCTTACCAATTTTATATTGACTCTATTTGATAAATACTTCTTTTCCATATATTTTTTATTGTAAATTAAGATAAGCCACAAACCCAATACCAATTTTGCGTTTTATGTTTTTTTTTCTTAATTCTTTCAAAGGTATTAGGAATTTTTTTATGCTAAATTGCCTTTTTTTTTTGTGCTTATTTTCCCGTGCATTATTTTATACCCTAATCATGTTCTTCGCCAGAGGTCAAGAGTATGATTAGGGTGGTCAAAGAGGTCAAGGACTTAGGATTTTGGTTGGAAAGATGAGGATATTTTGGTACTTTTATCTTAGGATAAAAATGTAATATAAAAAGATTTATTAAGTGAGTGGATTGAGAAAATTTGGTGTGTGAAAATAGAATTTCACAATCATTACACTTAAATTTAAATTTCGAAATATTTTTTCACTAATGTCCCTATCTTTTCAAATTTTTAATATATTTATAATTACTTAAAAAGGGTAGTTTTAGAAAATTAAATATTTTTTATTTTAATTTTTCAAATGAGACTATCATTTTGAGACATCTAAAATAGAATAGTAGACCAACAAAATAAGACGGAGGGAGTACAAGTATATATTTATTTTTTGTCATAACTTATCATTCAACATTAGATGTTAGAAAAAATAAAATTTATAACTAACTTTCTATATAATAATGAAATTGTCAAAATTCTTAATTAAAAAATATTATTAATATCACAAAAAGTATTAATTGAGTTAATAACCAATAATAAAAGAGTTGTTCATTGTGTGATTAAATTTTTAACAAACGAAATATAATTTCTAAAATTACAAGAACAATTAGTATTTTAAATAGGGGGACTTCGTACAGATCTTAATAGGTGAACTTATTGTCCAATAGGTCTTGTGAAAATTAATAGTGTTTTCCACCAAACACTATTAAAAAAAGTCACTAATTGTTAATTTTCAGTGACAGTTTGAAAATTTTATCACAAAAAAATCACTAATTGTAAGTTTTAGCGATAGTTTAAAAAAATAGTCACAAAAAAAAGTTACTAATTTTTAATTTTCAGCAACAGTTTAAAAAATTCGTCACAAAAAAAGGTCATTAATTGTAAGTTTTAGCGACAATCTATAAAAACCGTAACAAAAAGTCACTAATGGTTAATTTCTAGCAACATATACAAAAACTTATCACAAAAAATTATTTTTAGCGATGATTTTACTATGACTTATTATCAATAGGACTTTATAGGAATTAAGTTCAATTATTAGGGCCTATTGGTAGTTAACCTTTTAAATAAGAGACATTTATTCATAAGACTCTCTTCACCTACTTGTATTCTACTTAATCTAAATTATTTTCATATGTTCCAATAAATCCTATGAGGGAGATAGTTATCAAAAT